CACACACACACACACACACACACACACACACACACACACACACACATGCACAGATTTGTGATTAACTTGTTGTTTGTTTACTTGTTTATTTACTGTTTGTTTGTGTTTGTGTTTTCCAGTCAGGGTTCTTCGGGCTGCAGAGTGGGCATGGCTGTCGGCCTTGTGGCTGCAGCCAATCAGGGTCCCTATCTGAGTCATGTGATGAGGAGGGGCGGTGTCAGTGTGTAGAGGGCGTGGCCGGGGACAAGTGTGACCGCTGTGGTCATGGTTACTACGGTTTCCATGGCAGCGGCTGCAAAGGTAGGTAGATACAGCCATTTGTCAGTCAGACTGCTCATTGGTTGAGCCTCTTGTCTCTGATTGGTTGTGCTCTGCTGTCCTCCCAGCATGCACCTGTGACCACACTAGCGGAAACTGTGATCCTGAGAGCGGAGAGTGCATCTGCCCCGCCCACACAGAGGGAGACACCTGCGACAGGTGTGAGACAGGTCACTGGGGTCACGACCCCACCACAGGTTGCAAGGTATGCACACACACACACACACACACACACACACACACACACACACACACACACACACACACACTCAGTTACAAACCTGTGACAGGTGTAACGTGTTAACTTCTGTCTCTTCAGCCCTGCAGCTGCAGTGCAGCAGGAAGCTCCACCCCTCAGTGTGATCTGACCAATGGGCAGTGTCTGTGCAGAGAGGGGTTCTCTGGCAGGTCATGTGACCAGTGTGCACCTGGTTACTATGGTTACCCAGCATGCTCAGCGTGTGGCTGCGACATGGCGGGAACCGACGAAACATTCTGCAACACGACACTGGGAGAGTGCGACTGTGGACACACCGGAGAGTGTGTGTGCAAGGTAACGTGTGTGTCGCTTGTCCTGTTACAACTGGAGCCGTATTAAAAGTCGAATGTCGTCTCCACACACACTCTGTCTGTGTTCAGGCTGGCGTGTCGGGGCGGCGCTGCGAGGAGTGTGTTGCTGGTTGGTTCGGTTTGTCAGCTGAGAATCCAGACGGCTGCTCTCAGTGTTTCTGTTCAGGACTCAGCCGAGACTGTGAGGAGCAGGGAGGACTGACCAGAGTACCTGTGAGTACCTGTGCTGCATGTGACATATGATTTATATACGAAGTTCTGCTCACATGTTCTGATGGAGGAGACCAGAGTCCACTAAGTTCAGCTCACATGTTCTGATGGAGGAGACCAGAGTCCACTAAGTTCTGCTCACATGTTCTCACGTTCTTCACTCTGTTTCCTTCTGCTGCTCTTTGCTGGAGGGGTTCTGCTGCTCCTCCTTTCTCTGGAAAACACCACAAAGGGCTTCTGATGGACTCAGACCAGGACTCACACTGTCCAGGTCCTGGTTCCACTTGGTTCTGGTGTAGAAGTTCTTGATGACGTTGTTCTCTGGATGTTCTACTGCTGGAATGTTCCTCTTCTTCATCTGGTCAGCCAGTATCCTGGTTCATCCTCAGACATTCATGGAGCTTCTAGAAACGTCATCAACACCTTCTGCCCTCATGCAGCCCCACATCATGATGCTGCCACCTCCGTGCTTCACTGTCAGGACCATGCATCCACTGTGGTGGTCCTGGTCAGGTTCACACCAAACATCTGGACTCCATGTGAGCCCAACACATTGATCTCCATCTGACCAGAGGATGTTCTCCAGCATCCATCAGGCTTCTGTTCATGTTCTCTGGTGAACTTTGATGTGGAAGTTTAGCTGTGAGCAGCAGCCAGGTTTAGTTCTGCTCCTCCGTCCATAGAGGCTGATGTTCTAAAGTGTCCTTCACACTGGACTCACCTTCCACCTCTCTCTCCACAGATAACCCTGGCTCGCTCTCCTGCTCTCTTGTCATTGGTCAGTCAGTCGAACCTGCAGGGTGTTGTATCTGGAGTTTACCAGCAGGGTGGCGATATGCTGCTGGACACCCGTCAGCTGAGCACCAGCAGACTGTCCGGTCCGCTGTACTGGAGGCTGCCTCCACAGTTCGAAGGCAACCAGGTACTGTAGCCGACCTGCTGCCTGGCAGTTCATCTGTGACCAGGCCTGTTTAGCAGCAAGCGCGGGGTGTTTAAACCCTTCACGCTGACTCACAGGGAGTTGTGTACTGTGTGTGTGTTGTGTTGTGTAGCTGCTGTCATACGGCGGGCTGCTGTCCTACACCGTCACCTTCTATGCCGAGGACGGGTCAGGACTGTCCAACCTGGAGCCACAGGTGCTGATGAGGGGCGGGACTCTGAGGAAGCTGGTCATCTACACCGACATGGTTGCCCCTGGCAACGGCGTCAGGACTCAGCATGACATCAGGCTGACTGAGGTACAACTGCAAGGAATCATGGGAAACAGTGGAGGAGGTGTTTAAAGGCAAAGTTTACTATTGTGTGTGTGTTTGCGTGTTGCAGCACAAGTGGAAGTATTTTAACTCGGTGTCGCTGACGGCGGTGAGTCACAGCGACTTCCTGTCCGTCCTCAGTAACGTCCAGTACGTCATCGTCAAGGCTTCATATGGGACGAGACTGCAGCAGAGCAGGTACTCTCAGTACTCTCAGTACACACAGTACACACAGTACTCTCAGTACACACAGTACTTTCAGTACTTTCAGTAATCTCAGTACCCAGCAGCGACCACACTGAGCAGCTGCAGCTGACTGATGACCCTCGACGATGTTGAAGCAGCTGTGACATCACAGCTCTGTTATTTCCCTAAGGATCGCTAACATCACCATGGAGACAGCAGTGGAGGCAGAGTTAGGGGAGGAGTCAGAGGGGGCTGCGGTCCCAGGGGGCGTGGCCAGACTGATTGAGTCATGTGTATGTCCACCTGGTTACACCGGACTGTCCTGTCAGGTAAGGGGAGGGTCTTCACATGGTCACATGACTCAGTGTATCACCATGACATCAGCAGGAACCACCAATGAAAAGGCTGCTCTTTGTTTACACAGTTATAAACGTGTTGACCTGCCAGGTGCATCACCTGTCTCTCTCTGACCTGTCTGTCTGCAGGAGTGTGCAGCAGGTTACTTCCGTCAGCATCAGTCGGAGTTGTCGTCTCAGAGTCAGAAGTCGATGTTTGTTCGTCCGTGTGTTCGATGTCGCTGCAACAACCACAGTGACAGCTGCGACATGGAGACTGGCGACTGCCAGGTAGCATGCTAACACATGCTAACACCTGTTTAAACATGCTGTGCTAACATGTTCTAACATGTGCAACACAAGCTAACATATACTAGCAAATGGTAATGCCTGCTAGCATGTGCTAATACATGCTAACAAATGTTAACTCATTCTAACAAATGCTAACAGGGGGTAACGCATGCTAAAACATGCTAACCGAGCTAAATTTTGCACATTGTTGAAGGAGACTCCAGGCTGAGGAGGAAAAACTCATCAGCAGATGAAAAGTGTTTGTTTTGTGCAGGACTGTCAGCACCACACCAGTGGGCGGAGCTGTGAGCTCTGTGCCCAGGGGTACCACGGGAACGTCAGCGGCTCCATCAGCGACTGCTCGCTGTGTGCCTGCCCCCTGCAGGACAACAGGTAACCTGCAGCTGCTCCCATATTCTCACCTCTGTCGTGCTGACGTCTTGTACTGACCCGGCTGTGTGTAGTTTCAGTCCCACCTGTGTGTCAGAAGGAGCGATCGGTGATTTCCGCTGCACTTCCTGTCAGGCCGGTTATGAAGGCAGATACTGTGAGAGGTGAGTACCTGCCTGTAGACCTTCACCAGGTGTACAGATGAACACATCACAGTCTCTGTCTCATGTTCCTTCATTGTGGTTCATGTTTCTCTGCAACACAAAGTCCTGCAGCTCTGTGGAACCAGAACATGAAGGAGAGAGAACTCAGAGATGTCTTCTGTTAGCAGGACTTAGTTAGAACGATGGAGACCAGAGAGAAATATGATTTTACAAAAATGGACCCAATGTGTTTCCCCAGATGTTAAACCCTGAAGCTACTGTAGTCTCCTTGTCCTGAAGATGTTGAACCATCTCCATGTCTCTAGACTGTTCCTCTCTGCTCTGCTGAGCAGCTGTAGAAAGATGTTCCACCATCAGATGTAGAAAGATGTTCCTCCAACAGTAGAAAGATGTTCCACCATCAGATGAATGTATCTCCACCAACTGGCTCCTCTGGTCTCTGGTTCTGATCCGTGCTGCATCTATTCATTGATCCAGTAGGATGGATTCTTCTCTCAGTCTCTCTGAGGAAACATGAGCCATGATGTGTTCAAGGACAGATGAAAATCTTCTGTTTCAAGACAAACTGTGGTCCAGCTGTTTTGGGTTCAGAGGGTTATTAAACTGTGACCTGTCGTGTCGCAGGTGTTCTGTCGGTTACTACGGAAACCCCTCGGTGCTGGGCGGTGTGTGCAGGCGCTGCACCTGCAGTGGGCAGGGCTCCCTCCACCCGCTGTGTGACGCTCTGACTGGACAGTGCGAGTGTCGGCACGGCAACACGGGAAGGTCATGTGACCAGTGTGACGACAGGCACGTCCTGCAGGGGGCAGCGTGTGTGTGTGAGTACAACTACATACACAGTAACACGCACATAGACACACGCTATAACACACACACACAGGAGCACACCGCTGTGTCCTCAGAAGTGATGTTTCTTCCTCCAGCCTGTGACGATGAATGCAGCGGCGTTCTGCTGGACGACCTGGACAAACTGAACGACCTCCACCTGTCCGTCAACCTGAGCGGCGTTGTCATGGCGTCGTACCGGCAGCTGGTGTCGCTGCAGAATCAGAGCAGAGACCTGCAGGTAGAGAGACGAACCCACCCATCACACTGAGCACGCTTCATTCTGTCAGCTGACCCGTTACCTGTGTGTCTGTCCAGGTGGCGCTGTCAGAGAACAGCTCCGTCACAGCTTACCTGTCCAGAGTGGAGGACGACCTACGTCACCTGACCTCTGACCTCAGCGCTCTGCTGCAGCAGGTAGACACATGGCCTCTGCTAAAGGCTTCGGTCGCTGACCTGCTGTTCACTACAGCACTGAAACATCACAAGGTCACACAGGAGGTTCCACACATGAACACATAACATCAGAACATCTGAACACATGAACATCTGAACACATGAACATCTGAACACATGAATGTCTGAATGAAATAAAGGTGGACATACGAAGGAACCAGAGAAGCTCAGGAATGAAAGATGGACTCACTGTCGTTCCTGCTGTGGAGCCTGAAGTTAATCTCTGAATCTGAACCGGTAGTTTGTAATCTGATATCAGAGACAGTACTCTGCTGGTGGAAGTAATCTGATTACTGTGCTGTGTTAAATCATTGGACAGGATGCTATAAAGGAGTGCTGCTGTTTACTGTACATTTAATACCTGATGCTGGTTGTCAGGACAACAAACACCAAAATATCAGTGTAATTACAATATTTTTATTACATCATTTGTATTAAATAATTATTATAAATAATCATCATGATTTGAAAACACAAAGAACACAGTTTGATCTGCAAACAGACACAATACATGTAGTGTTAATTTTCTGCGTCCTGATTGGCCAGGTCACTCGTTTGTCTGACCACCTGGTGGAAGCGGCCGTGTCCAACAACAGCAGCTTTTCCCAGGGTGCACTGCTGCTGGAGAGCATCAGCAGCCTGCAAGACAACATTCTGGGTAAAGCACAGAAGCTCAACGATGACATCACTGACGTATCATAGTGACATCATTACCAGCAGAAAATGCTTTAATTAACGCTCGCGTGTGATTGGTCCAGTGCTGCAGAGGGAGGCGGGGCATCTGAATCAGACCACGGATGAGCCCGACTCAACCAATCAGACGCGTCTGCTGGAGGAGGTGGAGTCCTTGTTGGAGACCACCAGAGGTGTCAATCTAACAGCCGCCATGGCAGCAGCCAATCAGGAGCTCAGGTGAGTTTAATACACACATCAAATCGAAAACAAACACACAAACAGGTTGCCATGGTAACTCTCCCTCCCTCTCTGCAGCCGGTCAGAATCTCTCATCCAATCGCTGCAGCAGGACCTCCTGTCCAGCAGGGCAGCGCTGGACAACCGGCTCCACACCCTCGCCACCTCCATAACTGTCGCCATGGCAACGCTGGAGCATGCACAGACACACCTGAGCGACGCTGCACAACAAAACACAGAAACACACACTCTGCTGGACGGCGCACACACTCTGCTACACCGTTATCAGGTGAACACACACACCTACACACAAAGACACAGGTGAGATTAAAACCTGTGCTTATGTTGTTTCTCTTCACGTCTCACCACCTGTGTGTGTGTCTGTCAGTCTGTCCATCAGAACCTGACGGCTGCGTGTCTGTGTGTGGACGGACTGATGGACGACAGCCAGCTGCACCTCCAGGACGCCGTCAGTCTGACTGAGGATTTAACCAACAGCAGCGCAGTAAGCAGTCCTGCAACAGTGTAATAACTCACCTGACCAGCAGGTGACAGCATGCTAATTAACGTAACAACTCACCTGACCAGCAGGTGGAGGTGTTGGCCAGCCAGCTGGATCAGTGGCGCCCCCTGCTTAGGAAACAGGTGGACGGTTTGGTTGTTGGACTGAAGATGACGGACGCTCTGGAGAATGTTTATCGTGCAGAGAACCACGCCCACCTTGTGCAAAGCCACGCCCACTCCCTGCACAGGTAACCTTGGTGCAAGTGTGTTTATAAATGTGTGTATTTCTGTCATTTCTCCCGTTAAAGTCTAAACTCTTCCCTCTCAGCTCGCTGTCAGCGGTGTGTAATATGTCCCAGAATGGCAGCCGATTGGCTCAGCTCGACAGTGATGTCACTGAGCAGGTTAACTCCGCCCAACTGATAGCCTCGACCGCCCTGATCTCCGCCTCCCACGCTGTCAACATGGTACGTGTGTTCAGACGGAGAGCTCACCTGTATCTCAGGTGAATCAGGTTCTCACACCGATCATCCAGCTGAGGCTCCAGATGAACCATTTCATACACACCTAATGTGTGTGTGTGTGTGTGTGTGTGTGTGTGTGTGTGTGTGTGTGTGTTGTAGACTGTCCAATCAGAGCAGGTGCTGGCAGAGGAGGGCGGGGCTAAACTGAACATCAGCTCTGCTGTTTTGGATGAAAGTCAACGAATCAGCGAAGCGGCTGAAGGTCTGAGTTGCTCCTTTATTACAGCAGATGATTCTGTCAGAGGTCAGACTGGAGTTCTGCCTCCTCAGAATGTGATTACTGAAGCTGAGAATCAGGGTTCTGACATGATGCTGCAGATTTCTGTGGTTAGAGGTTAGCTGTGTTCCTCACATCCTTGGACTCAGTAGCCACACCTGGCTGCTGTTTTAGCTCCATGTCAGAGCAGCTGAGGACCAAGTTGTAGGAAACAAAACCAGCAGAGACGAACAGCACCAGGCTGTGGTTAACGTGGTGGATAACTCAAACCTAAACATGGACCTGAGCTCTCTGAATGACCTCATCTCTTCTTCTGTGGTGGTTTGATAGCAGCGGCTGGAGGATTCAGGAGAACTTTGACTTCAGTCTGTTTGTCTGTCCCACAGATCTGCAGGTGAACGTTTCCATGGTAACCAGCAGGCTGCGACTGGTCCGGGACAGTGTCCGTAACTCCAGCCTCCTCCTCCGTCAGCCAATGAGGCAGCTGCAGAGCCTCTCTAATGGTGAGACAGCTGATGTACAGCATACAGCGGGAGTCCTGTACAAAGCCAGCTAAACATCACATGACTCTAAACTGGATCCACTAACAGTAATCAGATTACTTTTAAGCTGAACTGCAGATTATTTCCTCTGATGTCAAATTAAAAACAAACAGACCATATTACACTCAGGCTCCAAAGTAGAACCTCAAAGAACCAAACTGAGTCCAGCTGTGGTTCCCATCAGTCCACCTGCATGAACATGGTTCTACAAC